TCCCCCTCATGTCTAGGAACCCCTGGCTTGTCATGAAGGCGAGGAATTCCTGGACACACCCCCACTGGTTCCTCCCAGTCCCTCAAAGGGCTTTTTCAGACAGGTGCTCTTTAGCAGACACACAGTGGGGCCGTTGTTAATGCCCCTCCCCATGCAGCTGCAACCGCGCATGCGACAAACTGCATGGCACTATTCGGTTCAGAGTGGCGCATTTTTGGAAAAGATTCCGGGTGCTGCGTTTTCCAATTTTCTGGCGAGTGCGGCAGTCCATTGAAATGAATAGGCTGACGTGCGGGAACGCGTGGGAACTGGTGGGAACGCGTGGGAAATGGCGGGAACGCGTGGGAAATGGCGGGAACGCGTGGGAACTGGCGGGAACGCGTGGGAACTGGCGGGAACGCGTGGGAATTGGCGGGGCGGGAACGCGTGGGAACTGGCGGGAACGCGTGGGAACTGGCGGGAACGCGTGGGAATTGGCGGGAACGCGTGGGAACTGACGGGAACGCGTGGGAACTGGCGGGAACGCGTGGGATCTTGCGGGAACGCGCGTTCAGTCACGGCTGTACATGTGAGCCAAGCAGTGCTGTCTGGTTGTACTGGTCTGAACTGGGAGAAACCATCATTTTGGTGAAATACACTGGAGTCAGCGGGGGAGGGGGAAAATAACTAGACCCTGTCACTTCTACACATAGCCCCCCCACCCCCCTCCCAGGTATGCGTACTTACCAGATCCCGGACCTGTTCTAGGGATCCTCATTGGCTGGGAATGTGGTGGTAAATACTGAATTCTAATTCTTAGAAAGAAATACGGAGGCGTATCATTATATACATCCCATTATACATTGTATCATTATATACATTCCATTATACATTGTATCATTATATACATTCTATTATACATTGTATCATTATATACATCCCATTATACATTGTATCATTATATACATCCTATTATACATTGTATCATTATATACATCCTATTATACATTGTATCGTTATATACATTCCATTATACATTGTATCATTATATACATCATATTATACATTGTATCATTATATAAATTCTATTATACATTGTATCATTATATACATTCCATTATACATTGTATCATTATATACATTCCATTATACATTGTATCATTATATACATCCTATTTATACATTGTATCATTATATACATCCTATTATACATTGTATCATTATATACATCCCATTATACATTGTATCATTATATACATTCCATTATACATTGTATCATTATATACATCCCATTATACATTGTATCATTATATACATTCTATTATACATTGTATCATTATATACATCCCATTATACATTGTATCATTATATACATCCTATTATACATTGTATCATTATATACATCCTATTATACATTGTATCATTATATACATTCCATTATACATTGTATCATTATATACATCCCATTATACATTGTATCATTATATACATCCTATTATACATTGTATCATTATATACATCCTATTATACATTGTATCATTATATACATTCCATTATACATTGTATTATTATATACATCCCATTATACATTGTATCATTATATACATTCTATTATACATTGTATCATTATATACATCCCATTATACATTGTATCATTATATACATCCTATTATACATTGTATCATTATATACATCCTATTATACATTGTATCATTATATACATTCCATTATACATTGTATCATTATATACATCCCATTATACATTGTATCATTATATACATCCTATTATACATTGTATCATTATATACATCCTATTATACATTGTATCATTATATACATTCCATTATACATTGTATCATTATATACATCCCATTATACATTGTATCATTATATACATCCTATTATACATTGTATCATTATATACATTCTATTATACATTGTATCATTATATACATTCCATTATACATTGTATCATTATATACATTCTATTATACATTGTATCATTATATACATCCCATTATACATTGTATCATTATATACATTCCATTATACATTGTATCATTATATACATTCCATTATACATTGTATCATTATATACACCCATTATACATTGTATCATTATATACATCCTATATACATTGTATCATTATATACATTCCATTATACATTGTATCTCTCGCTGTCCTTTCAGAGAGAGAAATAAAAAGATTGTGTAAAATAAACAAACAAAACTTTTGATAATAAATGATTTTTTTTTAAAAAAAATACCTAGATCAAGGTTTTCCAGGGTTAGTGTTTGGGTCAAGGTCAGGGTCAAAGGTCAATTTTTTTTTTTGGTCAGGATTTGTTTTTTAATATTTAAATTAGTATCAGTGTCAGTTATCGGCAGGATAAAAAAACAAAAAAAACCCCCAAAATGCGCACTATTGTTTCTGGTCCGTACTCCGGGTACAAAAACTACAACTAACACCCACACACGGGTGTCGCTGCGATGGTTGGGCGCAGGAGAAGTTGTTTCGGGTTGTTTTTGATGGTAGGCGATGGGAGGAGCAAGAAATAGCCAACTAAAGTTTTTATATATAAATTTTAAATTATTTTTATTTACTATTTTGGGCCAGTTTTCCTCTGATGATAATAAGAATCCGGAGACATCCGTTGGTCCTCGCGCAGTCGGGGGATTTGAAAAATGCCGGAAGCGTTAGCTGTACAAAGTCAGGTTGAAATGCAAGTTTTTCCACATTTTTTAGCCTTTTTTTGCATTAGCGTTTTTAGCAACATTTTTTACACAAAAAAAAAATAACATTTTGGCTAAAAAAAAAGCCCCAAAACACCAGTTTGCTGCGTTTAACTGCGTTTTGCTCGTTTACCAGCATTTTCACAGCTAAAAAAAAGCTCCTCTAGAAGCCGCTACTTCTGTTTTTTTCTTTCCAGCCAAAAAAAACGCCCTGTCAAAAATCGCTGATTAAAGCCTCTGTGTGCACAGACACCTAGGATAACATGCTGGGGAGTTTACTGGCTGTAGAAAAAATTGCCAAAAGCCGAAAACAGCCGCTGTTAAAAACGCCCGGCGTGCGCGAGGACTTACTGTTTACCACCAAATGAAAGCCCAATTTGTCCTGAAAACAGGGAAAATCCACCCGGATGAGTCCTGATAATCTGTACAGCACAGCGGCTAAATGGTCAGCACTTCCCCCTGGCAGTACTCGGGTCGCTGGTTCAAATCCCAACCACGGGCACCACCTGCCTGGAGTTTGCATGTTCTCCCTGTGCCTGCGTGGGTTTTCCTCTAAGTACTCCGGTTTCCTCCCACACTCCAAAGACATGCTGGGAGATGAAATGGCTCCTGTCTAAATTGTCCCTAGTATGTGTATGTATGACTGTGAGTCAGACTGTACGCTCCTCAGGGGCGGGGACTGATGTGAATGTACAATATATATGTAAAGTGCTGCGTAAATCGATGGCGCTATATAAGTAGCTGAAATAAATAAAAAAATAAAAGTTGCAAAATTGTGCGCAACTTTAGGCGCAAAGGGGTTAAAGAGGAGATAAACTCAAAAAAATGAAAAGTCAGTGGCTACAAAAATGCACAAATACTGCAGCTGCTGACTTCTAAAAGAAAATCAGCCCCCGGAGTCCGGCGCCGCCTTCCTTCTCACTGCTGCGGGTCCCCGGCACCGCCATCTTGGATTTGGGCGTTGGCTGGCACTTCCTGAGGAATCACAGCTGGCTCCCCACTGCGCGAGATCGCGGGGCGCTATGTGACTGATCCCGCAGACTCCTGCCATGTGTGCATGTCCCAGGAGGCTGCAGGCCAGGAGGGGGGGGCGGGGTCAGGACAAGTGATGTCATTCATGCCTAGGCAAGAAATGAGGAAGAAGGAGCCAATACTAGTAAAAAGGTACCCGATCCCTATTAAAGAAGAAAAAAAAAAGTGCGGGGGAGGGGAAGATTATTGGCACGTGGGGGGGGGGAGGAGTCATATACCAGAAGTGTTCAGATAATGTATTTAGTTATTCCATTTCCTTTGTTTGTTTGTTTTTGTTACTTTGTTATTTTCTTTCTATTGAATTGACAATAAAACGGTTTCTGTAAACAGCTGACTTTCTTTTTTTTTAAAATTCAAGCGGTGTCAGTTAGACATAGGAGGTTCGGATCGTTTCCAATCGAAATTCTTTATGTATTTGGAGATTCGGATGTATCCGAATTTCCGAATTACAATAGTCATGCATTTAAATGAATCGGAAATGACGAAAACAAAATCGAATTCGAAATCAAGAATAGAATAAAAGAGTAGAAGAGAAAATAAAAGAATAAAAGAAAAAATAAAAGAATAGAAGAGAAAATAAAAGAATATAAAGAAATATAATAGAACATAAAAGAATAAAATAGAATAGAAAATAAAAGAATAGAATCCGAGATTGTCAGCTCTAACGAGCCGCGCCCTCTGTCTCCTCTTGTACCACATTGTATCGTGACTGTAATGTCCGTCTTCATTTTTTAAAATGCTGAGAAAACTGTTGCCGCCATATAAATCCTGTATAATAATAATATAATAATAATAATAGAAAATAAAAAAATAGAATAAAATAGAATAAAAAATAAAGGAATAGAAAAAATGGATAGAATAAAAAAAAAGATAATAAATAAAATAGAAAAGAAATAGAATAGAATATAGCTGCTTTCCAAAATTTTACTGTGGGAGGGACAGAGACACCAACTAGTGCAGGAAATCTCCCCATTGTGGGAGGGGCAGAGACACCAACTACTGGGGGAAATCTCCCCATTGTGGGAGGGGCAGAGACACCAACTAGTGCAGGAAATCTCCTCATTGTGGGAGGGGCAGAGACACAAACTACTGCAGGGAAATCTCCCGATTGTGGGGAGGGGCAGAGGACACAAAACTACTGCAGGGGAAATCTCCCGATTGTGGGAGGGGCAGAGACACAAACTACTGCAGGAAATCTCCCCATCGTGGGAGGGGCAGAGACACTAACTACTGGAGGGAAAGCTCCCCATCGTGGGAGGGGCAGAGACACAAACTACTGCAGGGAAATCTCCCCATTGTGGGAGGGGCAGAGACACCAACTACTGAGGGAAATCTCCCCATTGTGGGAGGGGCAGAGACACAAAATACTGCAGAAAATCTCCCCATTGTGGGAGGGGCAGAGACACAAACTACTGCGGGAAAATCTCCCCATTGTGGGAGGGGCAGAGACACACACTACTGCAGGGAAATCTCCCCATTGTGGGAGGGGCAGAGACACCAACTGCTGCAGGGAAATATCCCCATAGTGGGGAGGGGCAGAGACACCAACTACTGCAGGAAATCTCCCCATCGTGGGAGGGGGCAGAGACACTAACTACTGGAGGGAAAGCTCCCCATTGTGGGAGGGGCAGAGACACACCAACTACTGAGGGAAATCTCCTCATTGTGGGAGGGGCAGAGACACAAAATATTGCAGAAAATCTCCCCATTGTGGAGGGGCAGAGACACCAACTACCACGGGAAATCTCCCCATTTTGGGAGGGGCAGAGACACCAACTACCGCGGGGAAATCTCCCCATTGTGGGAGGGGCAGAGACACCAACTACCGCTGGAAATCTCTCCATTGTGGGAGGGGCAGAGACACCAACTAACCGCTGGAAATCTCCCATTGTGGGAGGGGCAGAGACACAAACTACTGCGGGGAATCTCCCCATTGTGGGAGGGGCAGAGACACAAACTACTGCGGGGAATCTCCCCATTGTGGGAGGGGCAGAGACACAAACAACTACTGCGGGGGAATCTCCCCATTGTGGAGGGGATAAATAAAATCAGCACATTTGTATAAATAATTTTTTTTCTGAAATATCGGTTTTTGGTGGAGTTGACCTTTATCTCTGTATTTCTCCCAAGTGTCCCCTGCACAGTCCCGGGGGGGTCTGTATTTTGCGTTTGGCGGAGCGGTATCTGTATAATATACAGTCATGGCCGAAATTGTTGGCACCCTTGATATTTCTCCAGGAAATCATGTATTTTCTCACGAAACGTATTGCATTAACACAATGTTTTGCTATACACATGTTTATTCCCTTTGTGTGTATTGGGACAAAACAAAAAAAGGGAGGAAAGAAAGCAAATTCGACATAATGTCACACAAACCTCCAAAAAATGGGCTGGACAAAAGTATTGGCACCCTTTCACAACTGCGGATAAATAAGAATGTTACAAGCATGTGATGCTCCTGTAAACTCACCTGGGGCAAGTAACAGGTGTGGGCAATATAGAAAATCACACCTGAAAGCAGATAAAAAAGGAGAGACGTTCACTTAACCTTTGCATTGTGTGTCTGTCTGTGCCACACTAAGCATGGACAACAGAAAGAGTGAGACGAGAACTGTCTGAGGACCTGAGAACCAAAATTGTGGCAAAATATCAACAATCTCAAGGTTACAAGTCCATCTCCAGAGAACTAGATTTGCCTTTGTCCACAGTGCGCAACATTTATCAAGAAGTTTGCAACCCATGGCACTGTAGCTAATCTCCCTGGTGATCGTGGACGGATGAGGAAAATTGATGAAAGATTGCAACGCAGAATAGTCCGGATGGTGGATAAGCAGCCCCAAACATGTTCCAAAGACATTCAAGCTGTCCTGCAGGCTCAGGGAGCATCAGTGTCAGCGCGAACTATCCGTCGACATTTAAATGAAATGAAACGCTATGGCAGGACCCAGGAGGACCCCACTGCTGACACAGAGACATAAAAAAAAAGCAAGACTACAGTTTGCCCAAAATGTACTTGAGTAAGCCAAAAGCCTTCTGGGAAAACGTCTTGTGGACAGATGAGACCAAGATAGAGCTTTTCGGTAAAGCACATCATTCTACTGTTTACCGAAAACGGAATGAGGCCTACAAAGAACAAAACACAGTACCTACGGTAAAATATGGTGGAGGTTCAATGATGTTTTGGGGTTGTTTTGCTGCCTCTGGCACTGGGTGCCTTGACTGTGTGCAAGGCATCATGAAATCTGAGGATTACCAAAGGATTTTGGGTCGCACTGTAGGGCCCAGTGTCAGAAAGCTGGGTTTGCGTCCAAGATCCTGGGTCTTCCAGCAGGACATGACCCCAAACATACGTCAAAAAGCACTCAGAAATGGATGGCAAAGAAGCGCTGGAGAGTTCTGAAAGTGGGCCAGCAATGAGCCCAGATCTAAATCCCATTGAACATACCTGTGGAGAGATCTTAAAATTGCTGTTGGGAAAAGGTGTCCTTCCAATAAGAGAGACCTGGAGCTGTTTGCAAAGGAAGAGTGGTCCAAAATTCCGGGTGAGAGGTGTCAGAAGCGCTTATTGATGGTTATAGGAAGCGGGACTGATTTCAGTTATGTTTTCCAAAGGGTGTGCAACCAAATATTAAGTTAAGGGTGCCAATACTTTTGTCCAGCCCATTTTTGGGGTTTTGTGTGACATTATGTCATATTTGCTTTTCTGCCTCTGTTTTATATTTGTTCCAATACATACAAAGGGAATAAACATGTGTATAGCAAAACATGTGTTAATGCAATACCTTTTTTGTGTGAAATACTTGATTTTCAGGAAAAATATCAAGGGTGCCAACAATTTCGGCCATGACTGTATATATTTATAGGGCGGTCCGGAAGGTAAGACAATATTTCACCTTAATAAAGCATTGCAGCCATCGGAGCGGCGTGGACGCGGTAATGCGAAGTGGCAGGGCAAGGGGGACGCGGTAATGCGAAGTGGACAGGGCGGAGTGTTTTCACTTTCTCGCCGTCTTAATGGGTTTTGCCAGGTGAAGTTTGGCCGCTCTCCCCCCGCCGGAGCTCGGGCGTATATTTTGCCGCGGTGGAATGTGTTTTCCGACAGAGCCATAAGCGATTCATTGCTAAATTGAATTATCTGGGTAAGGAGATTTTTGTGTATTTTTGGTTGTGTAGCTTCCTTCTGAGAGCAACTAAATATTGATAAAATCCAGATGGGAGGCGGAAAACGCCGAATTTCATGACTTTTTAAAACATTTAAGTTGGTTAACTTTTGGCCCTGACAGATTTCCGGCTGGGGTGGAGTGCGGTGTGGAAGCAATTTGTCATTAGATTCCTGGAGTGGGGAGGGTGTCGCTGGGCCTCGCAGGGATGGACACACATCGCAGTGATTGCAGAGTCTCTGCTGGGTGACCCGGTGAATTGTACCGAGGAACTCGGGCGAAGCTTCTTACTGGTGACCCGTATTGTAATTATGGAGCAAAACAACAACACAGGGGGTTTAAACCTTCTTCCACCTCTGGATCTATACTACAGTCACCACATTCAGCCTCCATTGAGGATTGGCTGCAGGCCTCCAACCAGCTTCTTCTCACTCTGTCCTCAGTCCTCAAGTCTGTTCCTTGGCTTCTCCCCAGCGTCCTCCTAGACCTCAGCTGGTCTTCAAACTTTTCCTAGCCTGACCTCAACTCCCCTCCATAGCCTGTCCTCCATAGCTTCTCCACAACCTGTTCCTTATAGCCTCTTCTCAGTCTGTCCTCAGCTCCTCCATAGCCTGTCCTCAGCCCCTCCATAGCCTGTCCTCAGCCGCCTCTCTATAGCCTGTCCTCAGCTCCTCCATAGCCTGTCCTCAGCTCCGCCATAGCCTGTCCTCAGCCCCTCCATGGCCTGTCCTCAGCTCCTCAGCCCTCCATAGCCTGTCCTCAGCCCCTCCATGGCCTGTCTCAGCCCCTCCTCAACTCCTCCATAGCCTGTTCTCAGCCCCTCCACAATAAGCCTATTCCTCAACTCCTCCACAGCCTGTCCTCAACTCCTCCATAGCCTTTCCTCAACTCCTCCATAGCCATTGGTCCTCAGCCTGTCCTAGCCCTCTCCTCCATAGCCTGTCCTCAGCTCCTCAAGCCCCTCCACTCAAGCCTGTCCCTCAGCCCCTCCATAGCCTGTCCTCAGCCCTCATCCAGAGCCTGTCCTCAACTCCTCCATTAGCCTGTCCTCATTGCCTATCCTCCATAGTTCCCAGTCCTCAGCCCCCCCCATAGCCTGTCCTCAGCCCCTCCATAGCCTGTCCTCAGCTCCTCCATAGCCTGTCCTCAGCTCCTCCATAGCCTGTCCTCAGCCCCTCTCATAGCCTGTCCTCAGCCCCTCCATAGCCTGTCCTCAGCTCCTCCATAGCTGGGCCTGTCTCAGCTCCTCCATAGCCTGCTCTCTCAGCTCCTCCATAGCCTGTCCTCAGCTCCTCCATAGCCTGTCCTCAGCTCCTCCATAGTCTGTCAGCAGCCCCTCCATAGCCTGTCCTCTCAATTCCTCCATAGCCTGTCCTGCCTCAAGCCTGTCTCCTCCATAGCCTGTCCTCAGCTCCTCAGCCCCCATAGCCTCAGCCCTCCATAGCCTGTCCTCAGCCCCCTCCATAGCCTGTCCCTAGCCCCCTAGCCTGTCCTCAAGCCCCTCCATAGCCTGTCAAAGCTCCTCAGCCCCTCCATAGCCTGTCCTCAGCCCCTCCATAGCTGTCCTCAGCCCCTCAGTCCTCCCCTCCATAGCCTGTCCTCTGCTCCTCAGCCCCTCCATAGCCTGTTTCTCAGCTCCTCCATAGCCTGTCCTCAGCCCCCCCATCCATAGCCTGTCCTCAGCCCCTCCATAGCCTGTCCTCAGCCCCTCCATAGTCCTCAGCCCCTGTCCTCAGCCCCTCCAGCCGGTCCTAGCCCTCCATAGCCTGCTCTCAGCCCCTCAGCTCCCCCCATAGCCTGTCCTCAGCCCCTCCATAGCCTGTCCTCAGCCCCTCCATAGCTTGTCCTCAGCCCTCCATAGCCTGTCCTCAGCCCCTCCATAGCCTGTCCTCAGCCCCTCCATAGCCTGTCCTCAGCTCCTCAGCTGTCCTCCATAGCCTGTCCTCAGCCCCTCCATAGCCTGTCCTCAGCTCCTCCATAGCCTGTCCTCAGCTCCTCCATAGCCTGTTCCCTGTCCTCAGCCCCTCCATAGCCTGTTCTCAGCTCCCTCCATAGCCTGTCCTCAACTCCTCCATAGCCTGTCCTCAGCCCCTCCCATAGCCTGTCCTCAGCCCCCTCAGTCCTCAGCCCTCCATAGCCTGTTCTCAGCTCCTCCATAGCCTGTTCTCAGCCCCTCCATAGCCTGTCCTCAGCCCCTCCATAGCCTGTCCTCAGCCCCTCCATAGCCTGTCCTCAGCCCCTCCATAGCCTGTCCTCCTCAACTCCTCCATAGCCTGTCCTCAGCCCCTCCATAGCCTGTTCTCAGCTCCTCCATAGCCTGTCCTCAACTCCTCCATAGCCTGTCCTCAGCCCCTCCATAGCCTGTCCTCAGCCCCTCCATAGCCTGTCCTCAGCCCCTCCATAGCCTGTCCTCAGCTCCTCCATAGCCTGTTCTCAGCTCCTCCATAGCCTGTTCTCAGCCCCTCCATAGCCTGTCCTCAGCTCCTCCATAGCCTGTCCTCAGCCCCTCCATAGCCTGTCCTCAGCTCCTCCATAGCCTGTCCTCAACTCCTCCATAGCCTGTCCTCAGCCCCTCCATAGCCTGTTCTCAGCTCCTCCATAGCCTGTCCTCAGCTCCTCCATAGCCTGTCCTCAGCCCCTCCATAGCCTGTCCTCAGCCCCTCCATAGCCTGTCCTCAGCCCTCCATAGACTGTTCTCAGCTCCTCCATAGCCTGTTCTCAGCTCCTCCATAGCCTGTTCTCAGTGGTTTCTGTGCGATTTCCACACGCATCATAATCGCGCCCCGTTCATGCGAACCGCTGAGGGTGTGTATGGTAAGCTGATGAAAATCGGTCCGCAAAACACGCTGCGGTGTTCATAATCGGATTGCATGTGTGA